CGGTATGGCACCTTTTGGCTTGGCTACCTAGATACTCTCTCCTGCTCAGTTGTTGTTCAGGTTAATAATTGTCACTTTACTCTCAGTCTGGCCTTAGTTCCCTGCATGGTACTTCTCCCAAGTAGATAGGTGATATCACATGCGCGTGCTCATGGTCCGACAGCCTTTGTCGGGTGCTCCCTCGCAAGCTCTCCAAGTCCAAGACCTCTCACAACCCCTTGCTGCTGACGTCCCCCAAGTCCCCAGGGGACAAGACTAATGCCCGGAATACTACTGGGTAGTGCGGAGTAGTCGCCACGTACAGAGTACCTCGAGTCAGCACCGGATCGTGACGAGCGCTGCGCTGTACAGGTACGCATCTTCTACGGCGTTCTACATCCCGTAGTTAGGCACATTCAGGAAATGCTCCGCTGGGGCTCCATCTCGCTGCGTTATCTGCTGTCTTGACGTCTTCCATTGGTCTTCCATTGCCGTATTTTCAGGTTGCTGCGTTTTCCCCTCCACCACACCTGAAGGGGCACCGCAGAATATCCGACCCTTCCATGCAAATGATAGGATAACATGTATCTAGCCCATGACGTGTACCCCTCACTCTGGCCAAGCCCTGCTGGGCTGAGCAGGTACCTTGCCGGATGCCGACACCTCGGCCCTAACACAAGCATGGCCCCAGTTTCAGCACGGAGCAGATCGACTCAGCAGCACACGTAGCCGGTCCATTCCCTTGCCAAGTGCAACCTGTTACTTCCACAAGCCCCAAGCCGCTGACGCTATTTATCAAAAGCTTCCTGAAATCTGGGCTCGATCAACCTCTTAATACCATCATCACTCCCATTCCTGCATCCACCCTTATTTTGTAACTTTTCTTCCTCCTCCTGCTCTGCTCTGCAATCTCGAAGCACCTCCTCTAGCGCTACTATTACCTATCCATCTACACCTTGTGCTTATTTATTTCTTATTTTTATTTGCGGGGACCTTTTGCTGTCGTCGCAAGAATCTCCACGTCGACAGCTGCGCAAATTTGAGCATCAAGCTTCAACCTAAAGCAAAATGGCGTCTGCCCAGGCAAAGGCTCAGGACTATCTGAGCGTCATTGATAAGGAGGTTTGTCTACTGCGCCGCCTCGGCCAATGCCATACCTTCAATCGAGCTCTGCGTGCTGACTTTGTTAAATGTACAGCTCTCCAAATACCCCGCCCTTAACAATCTCGAGAAGCAGATTGGTGTCCCCAAGGCCTATGCCGTCATCGGTGTTGCTGCTCTCTACTTCTTCCTCATCATCTTCAACATTGGTGGCCAGCTCCTCACAAACTTTGCCGGCTTTGTTCTTCCTGGCTACTACTCTCTGGGCGCTTTGTTCTCCCAGTCCAAGGAAGATGACACCCAGTGGCTGACGGTGAGTTACTTCTGATTGCCCCTGCACCTTGCGTCTGCGCGGACCAAAGAACCACGGCGACTAATTCCATTTTCCAGTACTGGGTTGTTTTCGCCTTCTTCACCGTCGTCGAGGGCTTCTTCAGCATTGTTTACTGGTTCCCCTTCTACTTTGTCTTCAAGTTCATCTTCCTGCTGTGGCTGGCTCTCCCCACTTTCCGGTAAGTTTCTCTTCCAGAAAGCTTCCACGTGTAGAAAGATCTAATTTTTTCACCCTGTAGCGGCGCTGAGGTCGTTTTCCGATCCTTCCTTGCTCCTACCCTCGGCCGATACTTCCAGGGCCCTGGCACTTCTGCCGGTCTCCGCTCCAAGACTGATGCCTTTGACAAGACTCAGTAAATTATGCTAGCTTGAGCAGCTACTTCCACTTGGTCGCAAAGATCAACCACTTGCTCGCCAAGTCCCGGACCAGGTGCTGTAGACCCCAAAGATGGAGGACGGGCCAGATTGAAACAACCGATTATTGGGAATAAAATGGGGTATCACGGAATCGCCGGCACATGTTGGATTTCCGGAGAAGGATTAGGGTTATCTGAGGAACCAAGAGCTTGGGAATCAGGATTTCGATAACGCATGTTTGTTTAGAAGGTGTCATGAATTGGAAGCTGTAGGGCGCAATCGAGTATCAGTTTGAAGAGAGAATGAACATGTGACAATGGAAAGACGCTTTGTGACGAGCAGGAGTCCCAACTCAAGCTGAAGTGTAGGAGCATGAGCTCTCCGGCGCAGCCAATGACGCCACCACTCGACCGTCCAGGACGCTACCGCATTTCACTGCCAATTATCCGGAGCATTTGTTTACTGAAAGCCACAGGTTTATTTTGCAGCACTGTAAACTGAAAAACAACACTCAATTTTCTGCTTTTTCGCACGTGCGCATGCGCATTCGGTGTGCCCTCTGTCTCTACGTCGATGGTGCAGAAATGTCCGGGATACGAGGTACCAGCTGCTGGATTGCGGATTACGTGGCTGTGCGGGTGAGCTGCGCCTCTCCCTGAGTGCGGCCCCCCTGCGCGCTTCGATAACTGCCACCCGCCTGATAACCGGCATCTGGTACTCCGTATTATCGTGAAACGACGATCTGACAAACCATTGAAGCGGAAGCGAAGCCGACAACGCCAGCTGACGGCTGGAGAAGGAGGTTCTTTCTTTCTTTTCTTTTTCTTTCTCTTTTGCTTCTTTTCTTCTTCTTGAAACATTGCAGAGATCCACCATGATATCACATGTCTCCTGGAGATCGACGTATCACAATTAGAAAAAAGAACATGCCGCATTACTAGACGACCTTCTCGCAAGCGACAACCAAGATAACAGAAGCCCGCACGGCATGCGCTTGTGATGCTATTGACCCCATTGCAATCGCGACTTGCGGCCTCTCTCGCGGGGCTGCTGGTTGTTTTGATGCTCTACATTCTTCTCTTCGCACCCACCGCGGCGCTCGCTCTGGAGCTTGCAGCACCTCCTCTGTCCGACTTGACCACCCCGGCAGAGCCTCTGCGGCTGGACGCTGAATCGCATTCCTTTTACGAACCCGATTTTACCTTGTTTGATCGCGGTATAGTCGGTCGAGCCCCCGTCGATTCAACCCCTCTACAAAACAACATCCCGATCCCATTGAACCTTGAGCCTGGTGCCTCTGCCTGTTATGTGGTACAGAAGAGCGTCATCTTCAGCGGCAGTGGAAGCTCGGGGTCTTCCAACTCCAAACAAGACCTGAAAAGGGATGATCAAGACTTGGAAAGGCGTGCCGATGATACTGATACGCCAAATGATGACCAAGGCAGTGGTCCTACAAGAACTCTCTACCTGTCTGCAAACACCTGCCTTCAACCACACAGCACATCTTCGGACACAGCGACACCCCCGCAGCTGCTTTTTTTTATCTCTACTTCTAGCAAAGATGGATGCCCCGACGTTACGAAACCTGCGGCCGGAGTTCAGTCAAAGGCATTTGTAGAAGGGGCTGTCATGTACAGCTTAAACGCAACAGGGGACGTATACGTCACCGTTTCAGCCCCGAATGTCACCAAAGATTTCCAAGGCATATACAATTTTGAGATTGCAGCATCGATTGATGCCTACTACTACCAATACAACTCGAAAGATGGCCAGCTGTTATGGATGGACAGTGACGCCAAATCTGCCCTGCTCCAGACTGCGGCTTTGACAAGCAATACGAGCCAGATTTCGTCCATCATGAACGCCGGTCCGCAGTACGAACTTTACGTCCAGGGCAGCAAGGCACCGATTTTAGACGGGCTAACGCGCTCGGTGTGTGGAATGAATAATGTTGCTCAGATTGCTTCGAAAAGACTGGATAATGGACAAATGAATAATAATGAATTGGTCCGAACCAAGATGACCGACAAGGGCCCCGGTGGCTGGCCAAGGCAACAATACTATTTTGAAGGGCTCAACTCCAGTTCGTCATATTCCGGAATCTTAGTCAAGCTTGTGAATGCAACAACCAACTCCAAGAGACAAAACACAGGGGTGATTGGAGGTGGAGGCACCGTCTTTCCACCCACCGACTTCCAGACCTCAGCAGGTATGATTTTACTTTTCGCATTCTGGGGGGGAAGAAGGCCATGTACTAACATATTTGATTAGGAACAAACTGCAATCTCATCACCGATCTGGACTTTTGTGACGACGTGCAGTGGGCAGCTCCTGGGAACAACAAGTTCAACAACACGGAGCTGGGAAATCTCTACGACGCGTATGCCAAGCAGATGTATGCCAACTTTCAAAACGTGATGATGCAAATTCCGTGTGAAGCGCCGTCTACGCAGCGGTATTCATTGGCGGTCAACTGCAACAACTGTACAGTGGCTTACAAGCAATGGCTCTGCGCCGTCGCCATCCCCCGTTGTGAGGATTTCTCAAAGCAAAACAACTACACCATTCCACGAAACGTCGCCCAGTCCTTCCCCAACGGTACTTTTCTCCCTGATGCGCTGAGACAAGAGCTTATGAAGACGCCGGCTTTCAACACATCCCGAACCACCTTCATAGACGAGGTGATAGCGCCGGGTCCCTACAAGGAAATCTTGCCTTGCGCGGATCTCTGCTATGGAGTCGTCCAGGGATGCCCAGCGGCAATTGGCTTTGGGTGTCCCGAGGCTGGCAAACTTGGATTCAACGTGAGTTACGGGCTACGCGACCCTAACGGCGGAGCAGTTACTTGCAATTACCCAGGAGAGCCGAGAACTCAAGTCAGTGCCTCAGGAGCAATCAAGCCCAGCCTGGTGCTCCTTGTTGCGGCTCTTGGTCTTGGCTCGGGTCTTTTGCTATGATATGAGGCTTGAAAAGAAGAAGAGCAAAGTGGTATTTATCCCGCATGCAAGGCGTTCATGGTTAGCGTTGACAGGATTTGAAAGGTCGGTTCACTATTTTGAGAAGAAAGAGGAGCATGGCGTTTTACGGGCGACATATAATTTGACCAAGGCTGTTTTATGATGAGGCTGGTCCATTGGAAGGCTAGCAGCTCTTTTTGAATAGAAGCCTGGAGATTGGCTGGCGATTTGAATCACGCCTGTGATGATTGGCAATATCAAGAGTATAGAGAACGGAATACAGGCAAATGCATGCATCAACAAGAGATGAGAGCCCTTTGATTGTTGTTGATGGTGGTATTACAGTGGCCTTTTCATTTGGCCCCGATTTATGAATAATCTGTTCGTCGTCTGTATCGTGATGGCGTTGGATATGTTGCTCCTCATGCCATATCACCACTCCCCGCATGGAGTTTCAATGCCTTTCCAATTCTCAATGCCGTTTCGGTATCTCTCCCTTCACGGCATATCCTTCTTTCCATCTTTTGTCTTTTTATATTCATTCACAGTGCTTTCCAGCGCTGCAATCGTCGCTACAATAACACACATTCCCGTCAGCTTCGACTTCCTGCAGGAGAATCCGGTGACATAAGGAACTCATGCTTGCTCACCGTCAGCTTCTGCGCGATGCTCATCGGCCTCGAGTTTCGTCCAGGTCCAGTATGCGACCTGGTATGTGAAGACGGCGAGGACAAGGACCTTGCCTATCGGGCGGGTAAACGTCTTGTAGAACTGCGCCTATCGTTGTTACACGCCGCAAGTCAGTACCAAAAAGAGAAGATAATTGAGGACGGAAAGGCGGCGAAGGGACTGCTAACCACTGGGCTCGGCTGCTTCGTCGCATAGCTTCTCGCCTGTCTCGCCGCTGCGATGCGCGGAACAGCAGCAGCAGCCGCTCTCCGGCGCAAGACGCTTAGCCCCAGAGCCGGATTCATGGCTTTCGAAAATCCGGATTGCGAGAAGTTCGTCTCAGGGAGATGCACGTGTCTCAATGCGTGCTTTTGCCGGTCATTGGGCGCTGGAGCGCATGTTCGCCGATGGAAAGCTCCAGTTTCTCTCGGGCTCTGTCATCATAGGGCCGAAAACTGTAGTGCAGTTTTTAGCATCACGGGCCTGCTAACGAGGGCGCTAAATTCTGTTGCCAGATCCGAACCATGCAGACATTGAGTACATCGATCATGCACCATGTGGCGGTGCAGGCGGACTGTACCTGTCAAGGACACACTCTGTTCGGCGCTGCTGCCCGCTAAAACGGCCTGGAACAATTGCGCTGTCGCATTGCTCCATCCGCCCATTGTCCAGCATGTCGCACCCCGCAAAGGGACACCTGGGCTGGACCGTTTTTAGGCCCGATACACGCCACACATGCGCTAGCAGTACCTGTGCTCATACTCGTACAGGCAGCTCCCCAGGCACCTGCACCTCACGAAGGTACCGACTACCTCTTCTGCCACTCCCCGTAACCGGTGCGAGCTCGTATCTGGAACCTCCTCATCGATTAGATAGCGCCGCGGCTATTTTCCCTTGACGACACATGTCCTTGTCCCAGATCCCTGAAATCAATCTTGCTGGCCATTTACTTCTTCCTATTCCATTCCTTTCGATTTTGTCTATCGCCCTTTTTCGCTCCTTCGTACCTAATTGACTTGTTTCGCGGTGTCCTTGCAAAGAAAACAAAATCTGTCCTAAACTTGTCCTCCTAACGAACACTCTTCGGATTTGACACGACATCCGAAATAATTCGCCCCCGTCTAATTAAAGCTTCTAGTATAAGAAGTCGCATCACCCGGTCTGGGCGCAATCTCTCCAGCTACGTTACACTTTAACCATTTACCAATTTCTCTCAACAAACTCATAAATCACAATGGTAAGCATCAATCCTTAGCAATTTACCATATAAAAACCAAAAACATGTCTAACAACCCCAATCCTACAGGCCCAAACCCTCGAGCAGCGCCGGCGCAACGCCAAGTTCGCCAAAGACCAGGAGAACAAGATGGGCAAGTCGGAGGACCAGCTCAAGAAGCGCACCAAGGAGACCCCCAAGTCGCCCATCTCCATCTTCTGGCTCGGTACGTCTAATTCGAACTGTTAATCCTATACTTGCGCTAACTTGCGTGACACAGCCATACTTGGATTTGTCGTCTTTGGCGGACTCGTCTTTGAGCTCCTCTCGCGCTTCTTTGGCATCTAGTTCGAACGCCTTGAATCCATTACCTAACTGATAAATTCGAATCGAAACAAAGCGGAAAAAAAAAAAAAGTTGAAGGAAAAGGGTTGAAAGCCTACGAGAAAATAGCAGAGACCTTGACATTATAGAAGAAGGAAGAGCGAGCGCGGGCGTGGGAGGCGAGTGAGAGCAAAAATGACGGCCTGTGAGCGCCGTCAAGTGTCTTGGTGCTGCTGCCGCCACGATTGTTACATTGTTATTTCATTTGCGTATCTTGCCTTATTTGCGACATGATCCTAGAGTTGGTATCATGGGGGTTTACGGCGCATGGGCATTGTAAATCTAGTACTTGGGGATTTTATGAGAGGAGAGAACAGAGAACAAGAAACAAATCATTCCATATGGTATCTCCTGTGAGTCCTATCTAACGCCTTATAGCCTTCATCCGTCAAATCAACGCGATGAACAGATGCAAACTTGACATGCAATGCGAAACGACAATGCTGTATGCAGTATAGTACAAGTGATGGGTTTGCCAAGGCATCATCGCTCAGAGGATGTGGCAGCCCTACGCACCCAAGCCGCGGCGCTTGTGGCCACTCTCCTTGAGCATCATGCCAGCCTCGAACTGCTGCTGGATGGCTGCCTCGGCGCGGACCGATTTGCCCGGGTTGGAAGCCATGCTGCCTGGCTTGGTGGCATTGACACCGGCCTTCTTACCTCCGAGGAGTCTAAGGAACTTATCCTGTCGAGCTGCTCCTCCCTCGAGACCTTGAATCTTGACCTGCTCGGTGGACGCCTGCGAAGCCTTCTCTCCTCCCTTGGTCTTTTTATCTTTCTTGCTGACTGGCTGCTCAGCAATATCCTCCTCTCTCTTCCGCTTGCTGTCAGCCTTGGCCTTGGTAGTGGTCACCTCTTCGACGGCTTCGCCCTCCTCAGACTTGGACTTGGACTTCTTCTTCTTATCTTTCTTCTTCTTCTCGCCGCTGTTATCAGTAGCCGTGGTAGATTTAGCAGCGTCTTTCACGACGGCATCAACGTCCTTCTCGTCCGAGGCGTCGGCATCGTCGTCATGCGTGAGCTTGGAAGGTAGCTGGCTGCCACCATCCTCGGTAATTTTCTACAGGCAAAGTCAATAACAGGCACAGAGCCATATATGCACTAGGATGGAAACTTCGTACCTTGAGAGCCTTTGCCACGCGCTTGGCCAGCTTGTCGGCATCTTCAGCTTGCGCCAGAAGCTGCTTGGCCTCGGCTTCAAGCTTGTTGGACTCTGCCAAATTCTGGAGACGCTTCTTCTCAACCTCCAAAAGCTGTTTCTCTAGCTCCTTGTCGCCCTTCTGCTTGTCATTCTCCTGCTTCTGCTTCTTGCCTGAGATGGGGTTCTTGGCATCATCAGAAGCCTCTTTGGCCAAGTTTTCTTCATTGGCCTTGCGCTCGGCCTTGCGAGCCTTCTTTAGAGCCTTGCGAGCCTCTGTGAAAAGTTACGATGAGCTTGGAAAGACTTGTAAAGGTCATAGGCAATGCAGAAACATTGATTGAAGCACCAATATGTGACTATCCTTGGAAAAAAGAAATAGCGACGAAAAACCTACCTCGATCGGCATCCGCCTTTTCGTTGGTGGCAGAATTACCCATGATGACTTGTAGATTAGGGAAGATCGAGACAAAGTATGTTGAACACGTCACAGTGAACGAATTTCTGTTTATTCAGAGACTAGGTCGTGCGTTGTTGAGATTGCGCGTAGGTCAAGTTGAAGTTTGAGAAATCTTGGTGGTAGCTGCATGCGATCTGCAGCTAGAAAGAGCTGCTGCACCAAAATAAAATAAAAAATATGGGCTTTCTGCCGAGCGGTGAAGAGTACCCCACACTAAGCGTAAGGCAGGTACGCAGTGCAAACGGGTAGCGACTGCCGGGCGAAGGAAGGTGGGGTGAGAAGCTGTGGTACCTGCCAGAGTAGCGCGAGATCAGGAACGATACGAAATACTCCAGAGAGGAGCTTTGGGCTGAGTAACGAGCGGAAGCTTTGAGAATTGATGTGTCATGACAACGAAGACTGAAGTGAGATAAATGATCAGGCAGTAAGCAGTATTGATACATTGGCAGACAGTAGGCTACTATACAAGGTATTGTTGTATGGTAATACTAATGTATAGCTCGTTGGATTGTTCATGATAGTAGCGCCAAGGCAAAGTGTTAAATCTCGAGCCATTATGTAAACAAAACGGTGCTGTGAAGTCTACTGCTACAATCCGCATCCTCTCGTTGCAAGCATTACGCTATCCGGTTCTAATACAACCAGAATTCACGAAGCTGAGGATAAAGGACAGCCGTTGCTTCTCTTTGGTTAGCCCCGGATTCTATCCTACAGAGTTCTAGCTGAAGATCTTCCGCCTTACTCGCTCCACCAACACTCCTACGTACAAACGGGAATCACTGCCACAACAATTCGAGCACTTTGCCAGGAAATATCTTCGAAAATGTTGGAGTGGATTCTCAAACTATTTGTGCGTAGCATGGCATGCAACCTAATTATGCAGCAAGTTGTGTGCCGGATCCTTCATGCAGCCCGCCTGGCGCGAGGCTTGAACCCCCGAGATGATCGGCCTGTCCACTTCCACAAATCTAGATCAAGAGCCACAAAATATAGGCCCCTGCACCATCTGCCGTCGCAAACCGCAACCAACGCACATGTGTGTAACCGTTGATTTTTAACATTAGACATCATGCAAGGGGGCTGCCGGTTTCCCTTAGCCTACATGAAGAGCACCTAAAGTTAGGGCAAAGGATCACTCATGTCAACTTTCGACGCCAGCACACCAGGAGTTCCAGTTTATTTAATTCAAGCTATGTACATGCACTAATCAACATCATGATCGCTGCTGTATATCTTAATCATTACCAATGAGAAGAGGTGTAGTAGTGTTCATCAACGTCTTTATGCTTTCCCATATATGCGCCCGCGCCTTAAGACAACGTTGAACTCAGATAGTATAAAGACATTGTATTTCAACGAAAAACCCGGTAATTGTTGAAAATGAGGCTTCGCCAACAGAAGAAAAAAGTAACAAAGAAGGTAAAAGGCTGAGAAGAACAGAAGAAGAGGAAGGAAGAAAGTATATATAAGAATATGTTCATGTGTCTTCATGGAAAGATGGGATAGGGGTGGCCAAAAGCTGGTCCATCATAGACGTAGGTATTCTCGTCCAGGTAGCTATCGTTGGCTCCGCCGCTGCTATAACTGGCAGTCTGGCGCACCTCAGAGCTGAAAGACGAAGAATAATTTCTAGCGACAAAGCTGTCTTCTAGGTGCGTTCCCTGTCCGCTACTCTTACGGCTTTCGGCCTCATGTCCTCGAGAGACGATGTGGCTCAGGCTCACACTACCCCAAGGTAGACCTGATGGCTCTGGCTCTGTATCCACGTCGTCTGGCTCGGGAATGCGGTAGCTGTTGCCGGCATGTTCTTTGTCTTTTGCTTCACGCTCTGCTCTCTCTTTTTGTTCCTTGACTTTGCCACCTTTATATGTAGTTAGCAAGCTGGTGCTTAGCATAGTTAGGATGCAGTTGGAATGACGTACGGAACTTGCGTTGTGCAATGCGATTCTGTATCCTTCTTCTCTCTTCTGGGTCTGTTACCTCAGACCACTCGGCGTCCTTTGCGCTTGCTTTACTCTTTTTTGGTGGTGTAGAGCAACTGCTGCTCTTATTCGATGAAGGCTCAGGGCTTTGAGAGAGACTTCTGGATCGTTGTGTTGCAGGCATAGTAATAAGACAAGACTCTGTCCCGAGGCCAAAACTGAATGTTTCAATCGACTGCTTGAGACTTTGAGCTAAGTTACGGAGAGGGCGTAAGTTTTTTGGTAGGCGCCGTATGGTTGAACCTGGGATTTTATACCCGGAGTCGTGTCAATTGACAGGCGTGTTCGACTCAGGTTCAATGTGTGTTCAAAATGAAGCACGTGCTAATTGGGAAACTATATCATTAAGACGAGCAGAGTGTCTCATACTCAAATAGCCAGAGGAGAAATAATACACGGCGTGATAAGGTAGATAGTCCTTGGTTAGAATCGATTACAGAAGAGACGCAGTGGATAGTGGGAATCAGCCAAGGCTTATAAGTCAAACAGCGAGGCAAAACCAAAGCATGAGCCGTGAAACCGACCCAAGCAGAGCCCCAAGAACCAGAACGACCCAAATGCCAGAATAGCCCCGGCTCTAGCCCCAGCACCCGTCGGTCATCGAGCAGCGACAGCCGTGATTCAGGAGCTAAACGGGCCATCCGCCTGCTTACCTGTACGGACAGGGGACCAGTTTAGAGCATTCACGCCAAGGGATCTGCGGTACGCCCTTTTCAGGCTCCACTGCGAGGATTCCAGGGGTCCGGGCTGGTAGTGGCACGGAATCAGCGTGCGCGGCATCGTGTGTGGACGGAGAACGGAGCCGATGCTAGAGTGAAGGGATGGGATGGGATGGGATGGATGGATGGATAGACTCATGGACCGATACGGAGGATGCGAGTTTGAGGCCTTGGAGGGAGGGCGTACAGGTAACAACGGTGACGTAGCAGTACTAGTCTGTTGATGCTGTTTTGGAATCCAGAATTCACACGCCCGATGCACCGAAGGATCACAGGCGAGGGTCACCCGGGGGCGGGAAAGGCCCGTGAGTTTGAGCGCAAGAAGAGTGCTAGAACAGGGCTAGTTGTTAGTGCTGGTGCTGGTGCTGGTGCTGGTGCTGGTTCTCGTACGAGTCTCCTCGGTATATTTTGTGTGTCCGTCCTTGTATGTTCCAGCATGTACAAGTAGCGTGAGAACTGCATCTGGAACCCGGCATTGAGGGTGAGGCGACGGGGAGGTTACTCCTCCTGGGCAGGGGATCGTCAGCAGGGGGGATGCCGGTGTGAAGCATCATCTCATTGCTTGTTTTCTCGTTGCCACTCCCAGTGCCGTGTACATGTAGATGCATGTAACTACCACTTGCTGCCTGGTGCTACTGCTGCCCTAAGGCATCTACCTTAGTGATAGTGGTTAACAGCAATTCTAGTGCGCAATCTAACGGGCGTGATAATGACTCCGAAACAGACGTCGGGTTATTTGTTTGCAAAAGAGCCATATGAGTAAACGCCAGAACACTTGAGTACTGGCTAGAGGTATTTCCCAGGGCTGCAGTTAGTGCGAGTAACATCGAGGCATCAAACGAAGCAGCGCTAGACCGAAATACGGCATGATTCAAGTCAAACAAGGTTAGAGATAAAGGTTAGCACTCGATATAAGCCAATCGTAATATTGCAGGTTTGTCTGGTGGGGCAAAATACCCTGCTGGCCAATGTTAAAAGGACGACCTACGTACCGACTACGGAGAGCAGAATACTTAACAGCCCTTCGCTGCATTGTGGCTTCAGCCGCAGCTTTGGGTTGAAGCGAAGGAGTCCCATGTCAAAAAGAAGGAAAAATAAAGAAGGGGGGCATTCGATTAGGACACAGTGGCTAAACTCTTGGATACTGGCTCGCCTGTGCCTTTTTGCCCTCTTCGGCTTCGGTTTGTCCTCTTCGGCTTCGGTGCCTTATTCTGTGCACATGTTCACCCTCTCTTGTCTTGGATGATGGCGGTTTAGACACAGACGCCACCTGCATGTGCTTAAGGATTGATACGAGTTCGAGACTTGACGAGACTTGACTGCCCAAGAATTAGAACAATCTTGGCGATTGTGAGGCGTGAATTGTGGCCAATTGTGTGCTAGGGCCGCTGTAGCTCTGCCCATGAAAAGCCCTGGATGCTATTTATAGGTGACTTAACGTTGAGATGAGTTCCAAGTCTAGAGTCGCTTCGATACCGAGCAGGGCAGTTTAGTACTAACGTCAAGTTGCTCCTTCCCAGCAACTATACACCTACCATACTGTACCAGGTCACGTTATGAGCAAAGCAGGTACCTGGATGCACAGACTTCTCGCAAAGCTTCCTCCAAATTCTTTCTCAACTTCACTCCACCATCATTTTCATTGTCAGCCTCGCATCCTGCCTCTCCGCTGAGCTGAGTCTCTGCAGTTGACAAGCAGCAACACCTCCAGAATCCACACAACTCTACAGTTTCGACTTGCGACTAATACTATTTCCCTCCAGTTGCTAGACTAACGCCTAGCCCTGTTGTCTGTGCTGCTAGGATGACTCTTTTGCCGGCCAACGTTAATCTTTGGGGGCCGCGCACAGGGCTGGCACCAATGACAAACAGCGTTACAAAAGGTCCCCGCCCATTGCACCCCAGCTCTTCAGCCCAATCAAGGATCCCCGACTAATAAAGCGAGATATACGACGGAGTGCCAGGCGTCACATCCCCTTGAGACTTTGCGTCAGCGCAACCCTCGTCCTGTTTTTGCATCTCCGCTGGTCTGGTTGACGCATTCGGGTGACAGAACCGAATCATTAATCGTCACCAGCCACGTCTGCTGAGGCTTGCTCGCGCACGCACACACGCACGCACGCAATACTATGGCTCTAGACGATGACAAATGGACACGCGCAAGAGTATGCTTCGTAATACACAACCTTAAACGATATAGCTATATCGCCGTCATTTCTCATTCTCTCGTCTTAGCATCAATAAGCATGCTTGGAAATCCTTACAGCTCGGCATCTGCTCGACGCCTTATGGTCGACAGCGCAGACACCAGCTCACGAGCATGTTTCGTTCCCTCCAATTCCACCAATACGAACGAGCCTCTATTCGCATTGGTCAGAACACTTTCTCAGCTCTGAGTTCAGGAGGGTTGCTTCATCTCAAGCCATGCACGCGATGGGGTGGTACGTGCAAAAGCCACGCGCCTCACCCCACCGTCACCAGGCACCACGGTGCCAGAAGTCTCGCCTTGCTCATCGTATTAGGATGTCTCATGAATTCCCATGGCTAGGATAGCCTATTGGGCAAGCCAAGTGAACGTTTTCTGGGCATTCGACGTGAGATGTGGCGGCGACACCGAACGCAGTCGGGCTAATGAGATCGTGTGTTGCTACAGAATTACACTTTGTGTGGTTCAAAATCACCCCGACTGGTACACCAATCGCATTTCTATCGGCACTCGCAGAAAAGATGGGTGTACTTGCTGCCTAAGAGTGTTGCTACGAGGCAAGGCAACCATGATGATTGCCTCCCCCAGAGTCTAACACGCTATTGCTTCTTCTCGCCATAACGAATACCGGAGAGATCACGGATGGGAATGCTAGGGCATGACTACACTTGAGGCTCTTACCGAGCATTGACCACTAGCTCCTCGCTCTTCCCTCCCTGGCGTTGATGAGATGGGTTAGCGAGTGTGGCATCGTCAACGGCGCCCTCCCGACATCTCTCATGCCGCATCGTGGCTCTCACCCTTGTCTAGGAAGAAAGATCTATTCAAGGAGCCGAGGCAGGATACACAATGCTAGCTCCAAAGGTGGTATTGAGCCAACGCTCGCGCGGTTCAACAAACCGCATTACTAGTAATGCATGTTATAAACACATGCTGCGATATGTCGCGTGCGGTTTTCACCATCCCTGCTTGCCATGCGTTCCCATCCTTTGAGCTAAAACGCGGATGCCCTTCTGCATGCTCCGTAGGGCTGCCAAGAATACCACGGGTCAGGTCGGTATACAAAAATAGGGCACGTAGCTGTCGAAAAGAGCATGGTGATCTACACTAACCCGCGACAAGTATTCAGGGCGAGAGAGATTCTAATCTCGAGAGTTTTCTATTCTTAGGTGTTGCAGGGGTTCCTCTATTTGATCTACATAATAGCTTGGCTGTCCTCGAGAGCCCCCACCCAGGACGGACACCTACATGATTCAGTGTAAAAAGAATGAATGAGCCGTAGATGCTCGGCATACGTTGTCGAGTCAATGATATCGCTGATATCGCTGTCTTTCTGAATTACCTCCTCACGCTATGCCTCATTTCTACCGGGGAGCAATGCATCTGATCTACCCTGGTTTTCAGCTGAGAGCTCTGGTCCCTCTTTCAACTACTTCTTGCCTGGTTTTGCCCATCGGCCGCGCATCTCGGCCGCTTTGCGTCTTTTTTTCTGTTGCTGGTTTTTCCCTGGTTTTCTTTAATTAGCATCAACAGTTGTCTTCCAGTCGGCCGACACTCCGTCGCATTGGTTACCCCGGTGAGGCGATAGCTTGAGAGTGGCATCTTCTCGGCTCAGTAAGAGGGGCCCAAAAGTTTGTGGATGGTAAGGGGCGAAACTGTGAGTAAAAAGGCTTCTTTGATCCAATAACTGCTCAGTTCTTTATTTAGAATGTCAACTTTTGCCTCAAATCTACGTTATATGCTAAACATTATGCGTTATGCGTTATGCCGAGAAAGAGGTTCTTCTAAATGGACTCGGACAACTCCCGAGAAACATGGAAGGAAGAGAAAGACTCACAAGACATGTGATGGGAAGAGTCAAGTCTAGTATGTGAGTAACAGCAACTTATACACTACACGAGAAAACAAAAATACTTCATGTGACATCTACGTGGGGCATTTACTCGGACATGATTCTATTATTTTCCATCTCTGGTCAGTTTCTCCCAGCCTGCTTGGGTTATTATACTCAAGTTATTGATACTGATACACGACGCAGTAATCCGCACGACGCAAAACGCAACGCTCAACAGACAATCTCTAAAATACCGTCACTGTCACGGGCTCTCCATCTCAGCTAGCTGTGGCGACATTGTCGCTGGCCTTGGTACCACAGGCTCATCATGGCCAGTTTGCCCCATCTCCTGCGGTAGTTTTGGCGGTACCCAGAACCCAGACATATCGCTATGTCCTCCCATATACGCCTCTTGTGGGATTGACGACGAAGCCATGCTCATGTGCGCGTTAGAGGCGTAATACGCATTAGGGGGGTGAGCAGGAGAGCCATATCCACCTGAGTGTACAGGGACTGGCACGATTTGCGGCTTTGCCGACTGACGGCGAAAGTACAGTAACAATCCGACGGCAAGAAGCAAAACTGCCGCGCCGCCGATGGCGATTCCTGCTATCGCTCCGCCGGATAGGGTTGCCGAGCTGGACTTGGAATCCGGGCTGGGGTTTGCATCCCCAGCTGCCGTAGTCGTAGAGCTCGGGGGCTCTGAAGTCGTTGCCGTCGAGCTCGTTGCCGATGCTTGGTTATTTACCGTAGTAGTCACCACCGAAACGTTGCTCGTTCCACTTGGCCCAAGGTCCTTGTATGCATCGCAATCGGGCTTGGGCTGCGCAAGGGGGCATTCCTCTGCGAAGCAGATTGAGTAGAGCTGGCCGTTGATAGGGGGCGCGCACCGCACGGCGTATCGCGCATTCATAAACGTGTCGAGTGTCTGTGCATCCTCTTCTGAGAAGCCAAAGTACTTGCTCGCCAGCGTGAGCTGTTCAATAAAGTATCCGATGTGCGTCTGGTTGAGGTTCATAAACTTGTGGACATAGGACATGGAAAGAGGGCCGCCGCTGTCGGCCGTCCGCGGAAACTTTGGCGCAAGACTGCAACCGTAGACAAAACCAAAGGCCGTAAACCAGTGAGTGAAGAGGCGGCTTGATTGAGAGAAACGACAATGGTGAGTACGGTAACGGTTATGATTGAGTGAGGCGGCAAGAAGCCATGAAAACACTTACTACTGATTCGTCGACTTGTCTATATTGACGGAATTCGCAGAGCCATTCAAGAAAGCCATGAGTGGCCCGGTAGCTCCTCCATCTAGCCAGTCAATGCCCACAGGCTGATTGTTTAAGTTCGTCGTCGCCTCTATAGTGTGCCATCATGATGGGTCAACAAACGGATAGCCAAGTTGGGGGCCTGTACAACTACACCGAGAGGATTGTCTTACTTGAGCCGTCGAACCAAGGCCGAAGGTATACATGAATTCCATCAAAGTTTCCTTTGTTGAAAATACCGGTGTTATCGTCGATTGGGTTTGGAAGACCAGCGCTCCCAGCATAGGCGAGAGTGACGATGCTCTGGACGAGGAGCAACTGCGTGGTGCCATTGTTCGCACCGTACCGCTGGGCTGCGTAATAGTCGCATATTGATTCGTTACCGGCTCTCTGGGCGAGAGACTCTCGCCCTGCGGCCAACAGCAAGACGGCGGCGACGCGTTTCCACAGCATGTCGAGCCCCCTACAGGTACAAATCTGATGGACAAGTCATATGTCGAAGCAGCAGAGACAGATGATGAGGCGGGACAACCAGCGACCCGAGAGTACGGATTGCTTCGTGGTAATATAGGGGGCACCCAGCCGGGCCATTGCATCTGGCTGGGTCAGGGCCAGACCATTTTCATTTCCTCTAGCCGCACCGACTTGAATCCCAAATCCCACGGCATGCATATTGTGGCGGGCGAGGCCTCGCTCGATTTGCTGGACCGGGGGCAGCTATGGCGTCCCTGTCAGCCCAATGCTCGCTTCCTTCTCGAATAATTGCCCCAAGGCTGCGTCTAACGTTGCTGCTGCGGCGCCCCCATGTGACTGACAGCTCAATCGCGGGCTTTTTTTCAGCTTGTCGAGGCAACCAGCGGGATGGCCTCTGTGAATGGCCATGTCCAAGCAAGCCCAGAAATGGGCGCTCCATACCCAAACGAGATCACCGACTAACACGACATGATGCCTGAAGTACGAGTAGCTCTCGCGCTATCCCGTGTTTTCGGCTACGACTTGACGTTCCAATCGGCACTTGGACAAAGCAGCGCGGTTGATTGGAGAAGAGGCGGCAGCAAGCCCTCCTGCAGTGCCAATGCTTATATCTGACGGCGGACGTGATGTGACTTGTCCAGGTGCCTAGGTGCTAATCCTTTGCGGCTGAAGATGGCTTATTCAGTAGTCGAGCTCGCGAAAATGCAAGGGGGGGTCGATGGTTTAATCTTACCGTCAATACTATCGTCTTTAGCGTGCCAACAACAAAACAAACAAAACTATCTGAGCTTGGCGATAATTTCAGGCAGCCGTTTCTTGTCGGTGAGACATCTTGTGATTTATTATGATGGCCAGGACCGGGTTTTGTGGCAAACGCCATGATTGCTTGGTATTTTGGCGTCCGTGTAAGTTGCGGCCTAGATTATGCTTAAAATGGCCCGTCCCAATGGTCGGCTGTCGCTACCGAGCCAAGCTACATAAAAAAGTTGTGCTTTGCTCACGATGTTCCAGGTGACTTCATTTATGAAATAAGAATATCTATCATATTGTTCAGTGTAACAATTTCATCATACTCATTATTTTTGTCATAATCATTGGGTGGTATCTCAACCTCGTCTGTATTATCAGCACCTTCTCTCTTGTCATTCTTGTGGAGTACATGCGGTGATGAATGAATCAAACACTGTCAACTGGTTTTTATATTGATGCATCTTTCTACTTGAAGCGTACATCATAGCTTTAGACGAATTGCAATGGTAAAGAGGATCTTGGATCAGATATTCCCATAGGGTCAGTCGTTCAAAATACTCAATAACCATGGAGAATATAAATAGAGTGACTGCCTGAAAGTATGCAAGGGGAAGCTGCAACTATTTCTGGGGATTCATTCATCAGCTCCCCAAATCGGCTATCCAGTGTCTTACATCATAAACAAAATGGGGATACAGTAACTAGTAGGTAGTAGATGGTAGGGTAACAGTTGTAGCATATACGGATAGCAATATAACAGAAGTAGTGGACACTAGACAAATATTGCAGTAATAGCAGCGCGCGACATCCAGATATCTAGTAAGTTCAGTTGTTGGACTACTGTCTAGCAAAGATCCTTTTCTATCGTACTCATTTACCCATAGAGAAGAGTGCATTAGTGGTTTAGTATAAGTCGATAATATGATCCAACCTAGCAACAAGCGGGCAGCCTAGACGCTTCCTCGGTACACCACGAGATTCATATCGTTACATCATGAGATGGCAATGCTTTAATTGCTAGCACTAGAATAACAACAATTGGTTACAGAGTTTTCGTAATATACAATGCGCTAGCCATCAAGCGTCCTCCCTTTTAGAAGCCTGACAACGCTTCCGCCTCGCGCTCAGCTCTCCGCTCTACTGACCGTCTCTTGAAGCGAATCTCCGCCCTTCTTCTCTCACCACCATCAATCTTGCGTCCTTGACGTTGCTCCCACATGCCCTCCGTAACCTTGACAATTGCACCGGCCTGTTGCGGCAAGGGTGTCGCAAACGGCCCCGCTATTGACTTGAGTCCTCTAACTGTGTAGCCATTGGGTCGAGGGAGGACTTCAGAACCCTCCAGAGCTGCCTCCTGGTCCTGAGGCACATTGACCACATATTTCGCATCGCTGACAACAGAGGCCGGTGGTGTTGCTACTTTCAGCAGAGCTTGGCCGTCCGTGACGTACTTGAAGTCTCCGCCAGGTCCCAACGCACCCTTTCGGTACCTCTGCATCCACTGCAACAGGTATCTGCGGTTTCGGGGAGGCTCGATTCCAAGCTCCTTGAGTTGTGGCGAGGTGAGGGAGAAGAGAGACTCCCATGACGGGAACTTGGAGGCGTGCTTGTTGAGGCCGCGGCCAATGAGCGTGAGGAAGGTCTGGACGTCGGGGACGAATGGTCTAGGCTGCGGGATTGTCGGAGCCGGTCTCGTCTTGTGAAGCCATCGTGCTTGGTTTGCGCCCAGGAAGCTGGTGCTGCGAAGGAATCGCAAGGGTAGTAATAGCCCGTTCTTCATCGTGACTGCGTCGAGGAAGCCCTAATCTTTGGTGGTCAGCGGCATTGACATGGCAAATTGGCCGCTAATTCATGAATAACAATGACATCAAGAATTACCTTGAACGGTAGCCGTACAAAAACCCGGCAGTTGACGGTCCTGGCACTACAAATCCTCTTTTTCGAGCCCAGCCCGCGCAATGCTATGACATGCGAACTTTCTTTGGTCTGATCCATTCGATTTTGAAGATATTAGCTAAGCAAGGCTTAAGTAAATTAGTGGGGTGATGGCCACACCCCGTTTATCGGTGTCATTCCATTGGTTCATTTGGATTGTCCAATTGATAAGGCCTGGAATTACTTCCGGCTGCCTTCCATGTCGAGTAACTTGTCGCATCATCACTCCTTCACATCTCCGATTCATCATGACAGCGCGCGCATCTCCCATGCGTGGTGCTGGCTTGTGTTTGAATCATCCAAAATAATCCAAGACACGCCGGTTTAACGAGATTCATACAGGATGTTCCGCAAGAGGGCACCGCGCAAGCCCGCGGCGTGGCCCACGTTCGACATCGGACACGATGGTGAGTCCGTTCAGTATCCGCTGTGTTTCCCTGCAAAGTATTCACAAACTGACGTTTATTCCATCTTTGAAGATACCCTTCCATCTGCTTTTCTAGAATTTTTTGACTCTCTATCTACTCAAGGTCCTTCCGGACATATCAGAGATAGCCCCGATAATGTCGAGCCCCCCTCGTCGAAGCGTCGCAAAATAGATCGTGAATCAGACATTAGCATCTGTGTCGCCAAAGCCGAAATATCATTCTCGCGCCGATGTGAAGAGGCTTCAAGCCCAAACCGCCGTAGTGTCCATCGTGGTGTTGAATCATTGCTCAAATTCGGTCTCCTTGGCGAAGATTTATTGATCAGAACGCTACCGGCCAGTCGCCTTGGCCAGTTCGTCGCGCATGTACGTCTACGACCGGGAGATGCGGACCGAAATGCCCACGAGATATTCGATATCGAGAAATCAAGTCTGAGGAGGACAACCGTAGGCGCTATTTGGGTAGGCGCCGATGTTGTGATCGAGCATCACCAAGGCTTTGCTTCCATGACCATCTCTCTTCAGCTTTTCTGGAATGAAACATCATCCCCGTATGCGCCGTTACGACGAAAAGACGAGCGCCGATGCAGTGAGAAGCTGATTAATGCCTTCTTTCCCCCGCAATGGAGGACGGTCAACCCCGCTTCGTGGTCACCGATGGATTTCTACAATGCGGCACATGTACCACCAAAAGATGATACCAGCTCCCTTTCCATTCATGTTCCTGGTCTAAACGCTACCCTTTTTCCCTACCAAAAGCGAACATTGCAATGGCTATTGCGTCGAGAAGGAGTAAAGTGGACCACGCAAGACACGGCTATCCATCCATTATTGGAGGAGGAGCAGAAGCTGGACCTAGATTTTTTCCGTGCCGTAAATGATGCCAACGACCGCAAGATATATCTCAGTGATGTATTCCAAACCGTTACTCGAGACCCTACCCCCTACTACCAGGCCAGCCGACTTGTCAAAGGTGGTATTCTGGCGGAAGAAATGGGACTGGGAAAGACTCTGGAAATGATTAGTCTCATCCTTTTGCATAGGCGGCAACCAGAACATCCTCCGGATTTCCTACCAGGCCAGGAGAACCTTGTTCTTAGCGGCGCAACCTTTATCGTGACTCCGAAACCCTTGCAGCCGCAGTGGATATCTGAATTATCTCGTCATGCTCCAGGATTACGTGTAAAACATTATACTGGATGTCGAGGAGTTGATAAAGAGGACGAAGCTCGACTTGTAGTTGAGCTAGCCGGGTATGATGTGGTGGTGACGACTTACAGTGTGTTGTCCGCGGAGCTTCACTTTGCAATCAATCCTCCCGAACGATCCAGGAGGTATGAAAGGGCATATCGCCGCGTTATTTCACCCCTCGTCCAGATATTGTGGTGGAGAGTCTGTCTCGACGAAGCGCAGATGATTGAAAGCGGTGTCAGCCAGGCGGCGGCATTAGCGAGAGTAATACCTCGAGTGAATGCTTGGGGCATCACTGGAACACCAGTCAAAGATGATGTAAAGGATCTGCTTGGTTTGCTATCTTTCCTGAGATACGAGCCCTACTGCTCTACGCCGCAGGTCTGGCAGGCACTCACTACGCATCATAAGTCATTATTCCAGCAACTCTTCCAGTCGATATCTATTCGGCATACAAAGGCGCTGATACGGGATGAGATATCTCTGCCACCACAAAGACGGTTCGTCATAACGATGCCCTTTACTGCAGTAGAAGAGCAGCATTACCAGTCAATGTATAAAGAAATGGCGGAAGCGTGCAAGCTCAATACAGAAGGTGGCCCTTTGGCAGAGGACTGGGTTCCGGAAGAATATGAAGACGTTATGAGACTATGGCTCAACCGACTAAGACAAACTGCTCTTCATCCGGAAGTAGGTGTCTACGGACGACGAGTACTCGGGGGCAAGGAACGTCCTATGAGAACAGTAGAAGAAGTGCTGAGTGCTATGTTGGAGCAAGGCGAAACTGCTATCAGGAATGATGAGCGAGCGTATCTTTTGAGCAGACTGCTTCTGGGCCAATTGTTTGAGAACAGTCCTCGGGTCAGAGAGGCCCTTGAGATTTGGGAAGAGGTGCAAGGCGAGTCTGCCAAACTGGTAACAGATGCCCAGGCAGCACTTCGAGAAGCACTCCGCGAGAAGAGAGGAGTCGAGGATGTGAGCGATGTTTCGGAGAGGGTACAGGATGTGTCAGATTCAGACATTGAATCAGATGAAGAGGCCGAGGAAGAAGTTGGAAGTAGAGGCAAACTGGGCGAGCTGCAAAACCGGCTAAGAAACAGCCTTGAGCTGCACCACAAGGCTGTCTTCTTTTGTGCCAACGCATACTTTCAAATCAGGGACAACCAAGAGATGAGACCGCCTGACTCGGAAGAATTCCAGCGTCTCAAGAAGCTTGAGGACGACGGCTACGAGAATGCCAAGATGATTCGAAGGAAGATTCTTGGGCAGGGTCATCGCAAAGCCATGCGATTCGTGAAGAAAATCGCCCTGAAAGCCAACGATCAGACTTTTGTTGAGATACCAGAGCTCATTATGAAGAGCGAGAAGGGCATCGAAAGCGGCAACATTGTCGAGAGTCTCGAGACCCTCTACGATGAGCTCAACGAGCAAGCAAATTTGATTGACGAATGGAGAGAGCAAGTTGTCCAGCTCCTTTTGCGCCCACTCATTGACGAAGAGGAGAGCACCGAGACTACCGGAGAAGAGCTCGCAGATTCTACCAAAGTTCAAGAGGAACTGATGGTCTATGTTCAAGTTCTCCGGGCCATCATCGCGGACCGTCAATTCGTCATCTCGGGTCAAACGAATGGACTGGTAAGACACGAGATTGAGACGTCGGTCCGAATGGCGAAAGAAGGAGAGGGACCTGCTCCTTTGAAACTGATCGAGTTGGTCCGTAGACGCGCTGAAGTTAAACCTCGAACGGCCAAAATGTCCATGCGCGGCGCCATCAGTGAGCTACGCAGCTTGGTGTCGAAACTTACCAGAGACACAAACCAGAGCCACAGAGAGCTTTTGGAGTCTACCATTGCATCAAAGTTGATGAAGACAACCCAAACGCTTCTTGGAGAACAGAATAAAGCGGCAGTGGCTTTGGAAGCAGAAGTCAAAAGCTTCGAAAGAGCTATGAATGCTCGGTTGGATTACTATCGACAGCTGCAGGCCCTCTCAGATGATGTGCTCCCTCTTGAAGCCCCCAAGACTGAAGAGGCTATTGAAAAGGCGAAGAAAAACATTGAAGATCTTCACAAAAAGCTGCTGTCTGGCGAGGCCAAGCATCGATACCGTAAGTGGAACAGAAACTATGGTAGCTATTGTTCGCTCTGATACTAACTACAGTGAACAGTGATGAGCTTGAAGGAAACTGGATCTAAGTCGAACGAGCCTCGGATGTGCGTCATTTGCCAGATGCCGTTCATGACGGGCGTGTTGACCGTGTGTGGCCATCAATTCTGCAAGGAATGCATCATGATGTGGTTCAAAGCCCACCGCAACTGTCCCGTCTGTAAGAGAGCTCTTAAGGCGGACAATCTTCATGACATAGTTATCAAGCCTCGACAGCTGCAGGTACACAACGAGGACTCGAATCTGCAGAAAGGAGACAACCATGACGATAGCCCACAGGAGCGTCGGGGTTCTTCAAAGCAGGCGATGCTCTATTCGGAGTTTGACGCTGGACAACTCGAGCAGATGAAGAATATCGAGCTGGATGGCCCCTCGTTTACGACAAAAGTCGATACTTTAGTTCGACATTTGATGTGGCTGCGCGAGTCTGATCCCGGCGCAAAGTCCATTGTATTCTCACAGTAAGCCTCGGTTCTCTACTCTCCTTTCTCTTGCTGTCAAACGTATCTCAACTCACCATTGTGCCAATTAGATACAAAGACTTTCTGAACATCTTACGCAACGCCTTTTCCCGCTTCCGCATTGGATACGCTTCCATCGACGACCCCGACGGCATCACAAGATTCAAGGAAGACCCCGCTGTGGAATGCTTTCTTCTCCACGCCAGAGCTCACTCGAGCGGTCTGAATCTCGTCAACGCCAGCCATGTCTTCTTATGCGAGCCCCTTCTCAATACTGCTCTCGAGTTACAAGCCATTGCCCGCGTTGACAGAATTGGACAGCGCCACGAGACGACGGTGTGGCTCTACATTGTCTCCGGGACGGTGGAGGAGTCAATTTACAATCTCTCAGTTCGGCGCCGCATGGAGCACATGGGTAGAAACCTCAAGGGGAAGTCTAAAGAGTCGACTCCGGAGCTGCTGGACGCGAATATTGAAGAGGCCAATACGCTCGAGTTGGAGCAAGCTGCCTTGTCGAAGCTCATGAGCAAGGATCGGTCTGCGGGTGAGATGGTGGATCGAAGTGATTTGTGGGAATGTCTGTTTGGACATGTGAATGCGCAGCGGAGTTGAAGCTGATTCATGATGAGAGCTTGATGAAGAAGAGGAGGGGGATGAATATAGAATGATGGCGATTAGTATAAAGGGGAATGAAGTCAACAATGGTATAATAGAGATCACGCTTGGCCTGAGAATTTGATACAAGCATATAAACAAGGCTTTGGTCTGGAATAAAAGTATCATTATCATTTCTCCCCTCCTCAATGTTGTACATGATTTCTTTCTAGTGTTTTTTGTATCCCAAACCGACCCCCGTGTCCATTCCAGCCCAAGCTCAGCGGTTTCTTTCATAATTTTTTAAAAAAAGGTACCCATAATCTCGGCAATCTCATGGTCGGTCGTGCTGCTTTGTCGGAAGGATTTGGTAAAACGAAAGTATTGCTACACATTACAAGTTTCCGCTACCATTCCACATAATGGGAAGGCTGTTATACAAGGAAAAAATAACTCCCTCCGCCTTTCCCAAGAATAAGAAGAAAGAAAAAAGGTGCGACGAAACACCATCGGTTTCAGTCCCAGCATCTCTTTTATTTTCTCCTGTTTACTCAACAGTCTTCTTCTTGCTGCTGGCGCTAGACTTTACGCGCTTGGCGACAGGGCGGTTGATGTGGTGGTCAGGGATCCAGCTCTCGTCGTAGGACTTGCCGGCGGACTCGGAGCCGGAGAGGGCATCAGCGGGGTCGACGGGCTTCTGGACGGGCTTCTTGGCGGTGCGAGGTCGCTTGGCCTGGGGGAACAGAGCCTCGATCCAGGTCTTGTAGACGAAGAAGAGGGTGCCACCGAAAACGGCAGTGAGGACAAGGTACAGGAAGATGCTAGAGAGACAATCGGGGTCAGCAAAAGAAAGTCACAGAGAGAGAGAAACCAGGGGAGGAAATTACATCTGAGGGTCAAGGAAGCTGGTGGGGGCCTCGACAATGGAAGTCTCGCCATCGTAAGCGGGGACCTGGAAGATGTCGCCCTTCTCGTTGGTGAAGACGGCCAGCAGACGCAGGCGAACATCCTGAGGCATCATGTCGAGGGCAAACGAGTAAGGGATCGACTTGGTCTCGCCGGACTCGATCTGCAGGCTGTACTGCACGGCCGTGAGGTTGCGCACGATGCCCTGGTAGGCGGGGGCGCCCTCGGGCAGGTCCTTGGTGGTCCACAGAGCGCCATTGGCGAAGATGACCTGGATGGCGTCGTCCTCCTTGTTGGTGACCTCGATCAGAGCGGTCGTGGGTCGGCCGTTGACCAGCTTGACGCCCAGGATGTCCGAGTCGGGGAACGTGGTCCTGATGTCGGCATTGAGGGTGGCAGGCGGCTTGATATCGAAGTCGGCAGCCTCACCTTGGAAGTCCTCAGGCTCAGTCTGCGGGAAGAAACTTGCGTTAGTTGAGCTGCGTATGTTTGCAGTTCATTCATTGTCGTGATCACGCACCTGAGCGACTGCGCCAAAGACCTGCAAGGCCAGGAAAGCGATGAGAGAAGACTTGAAGAGCATTGCGACGACGACACGAACCCAGCGGCGGCCCGACCCAATTGATTTAAACCAAAGGGAGAAGGGGAAAAGGAAGAGCAAAGAAAAAGAAAAAAAGATGGAGCGGGAAGAATGGAGGGAGAGAGAGAGAATTGGAGGAGAGGCTGGAAGCTGCTTTGTATCTTTGAGGCAGGCGGACAAAAATGGCCCCAGATTCCGACTAACGGAAATGTGGCCACAGCTCGTGGCAAGGGCCCCACCTTATGTAATACACTGTGAATTGCCTTTGTTGGAAAGAAGAAGGGGAAAAAAGAAGCTTGTCCGGAAAAGGAATGGCGATGGCCCTTTATATCGATATATTGATGCGATACAATTGGAGAGGAGAATGATAGACATGTAATAGTTATCTAAACAGTGGGTAGACTTGATAATAGAACATGTACAGTAATAGATAAATTGGTACCTAGGCATCTGTACTGGCCATTCTATGGATCAAACATTGGTATTATTCCCCCCTCAACATCCCATCTAAATGAAATATTCGCAAACCAGGGGGCAAGACAGAATCCAACATCACCGCCAAAGCCCATCATGTGCGCCTCCCTCTCCAGCCCAACAGTAACAATAAATCACCACTCAAAAACAATCATGGCCCTCCGAGATCCATGCCGCCCCATCCATCAAACACATCCATGTCAGTGTCGAGGCTGCCAAACAAATCTGCCTCTGCCGACGCATCCAGCCCGCCATTGTTACCAGCCGTCCCCAAGCCCAAATCAGACGAAACACCGCCCATGCCCATATCCAGGCTGCCCACACCATCCATTGAGAGTGTTCCATCGCCCTGAACTCCAGCAGCCGCAGCCATGGAATCTCCCACCAAGCTCGCGGCGTCACCAGCCAGGTCCAGCTGCATATCGGCCGCCTGCAGCATTGGCGGCGGCGGCAGCACCATCTGCGCCTCCACTCTCCGGTAAAGGCGAACCATGATTTCTGCCAGCTCGGCGTCCTTCTTATGCAATTTCCGATAGTCCTCTGCCTCCATCTTTAAGACTTCCCGGAGAGTGAGACGTCGCTGCAGTGGTGGCGGAATGTTTCCTCCTTCATCCAATAAGACACTAGTCGGTGGGATATCATTGCTTACGTTTGGAGCGCAAACCAGTGCCGTGACCACATCGTAAACAACACTTCCGCTGCCCGTCAGCATTTGCTGGCGAATTTCTTCTAGCATGACCCGTAGAAGCCTGCACGCGCCCACAATCTTGAGCGTGGCAATAATCTGCCGGTGCGTATACGAGGTCGGCATGGCCGTCATTTCTGGATGTATGCACCACTGGACGAGGGCCTGGATCAGGTGTTTGGTAGCCCCCGATAGGCCGCTGCTGGAACTGGTTGCCCACATCTCCAGCTCCTGATGCTCAGCAGCTCCCGTTCGCCTAGAAAGGGGCAAGCTATCCTTCAGAGCCCTCAGCAGTGGCTCAATGTCCTGGTTCTTGGGATCTTGTCGTTGGTATGCTCGTAGTGAGTGCTCCAAGGGTTTAGCAACTATTCCCTTTACCGCAGCAAGCATGGTGCTAGCTTCGCCGGAAATAGAAGTGGGCAGCAGGATGAGCTGCAGGATTTTAATAATGGACTTCTGCTCCCTCTGTTCGATCCAGAGGTAGTCGGACAAAAATTGAATCGCCGGGATCAGTGATGGAAGTAGAAACGTGTCAACCAGGTCTAGAATAATGGGTGAGCGCATGATCAGTGAGCCGCCACAACCGCCAGATACTTACATTCTATGCCCGATCTAAGGGCGTCATCGGTTAGAGCGCCCTGGCTATATGCAATGACAATGTTTTCAAAGAGTGTCGCAATGAGGAGGTAGAATTCTGCAGGCGGACAAGACGACATCAAGTCATCACCTAGACCTCCCGCGTCGCTGTCGAAAAGCCCATGGATCCATCCACTGAGGTGTTCGTTCTCCTGCTCCGATATCTGATCCCAACAAACGCTGATATGAGCTCGGCTGATGATTTTGGCAACGTTCGAGTCTGGTGACATGATGCCAATGTCTGCCGGGGACAAGCCATATCGGTAGGCAAACGCCAGCACCAGGAGCAGAATGGCGCCGAATTCTTCGTAGACGGGCTGATACTCGCCTTGGTCCTCGTCATATCGCCAACCATCCAGAAGCTGGCATATAGGCTCCAAAACAACTGGCAGTTTCTCGAACAAGAGGAGTACGTCTAGAGACTGGGGCTTCTGAACTAATTGGCTGCAGAGAATCTTCAGGGACATTGTTTCCTTGCTGTTGCATAGTTGCCGCAATAACTGCATTCGTTAGCATGCGAGCTCATACCATCACATCAGAGTAGGAACAAACCTCGACAAGCGCCTGGCACACTGCTCCTACATTGCCATCCATCTTATCCATGTCACGGATCAGCGCTTGTATCTTGTCCGGGTCAGACAGACAGCTCTGAACCAATTTCTCTTTGGAGTATTTTTCTTGTGAGGGCTCATATCCCATTGAGCTTTCTCCTAGGATCCGCTCGACGTGTTCGCGTTCTATGAGCCCGTGCAGGGCACAAGCCGAGCAAAACTCTTCTCGAACACTCTCTGTGTACGGGTTGTTATTGCGCGACTCATCAAACATGAGCGATGCGGTAGGAAACACGCTGGTGTCGACTTGAGAAAGGGCCTCAGTTATACAAAACTCGGCAGACGTCGCAAAACCGGGAGAGCAAAGCTGGGCGAGGATCAGAGGCACCTTATTTATCAAGAAGGACCGTAATAGGTGGGCGTCCCTAGGTCCTTCATTTCTGAAGACGGCATTTGCAAGTAAGTCGAAAGATGCCAGTATCAGATCAATTGCGCTTTGTTGAGTATTTCCCTGGTACCTGTTGTTCAAGTATGAAAACATGGCATGGTCGTCTATCAATGGTCGCCCAACGAGAGAAGCACCAAGATATATATATAGTCCTGCCCGTGTATTAGATATGGGCAAGTCCGGGATCACCAGGCTATCCAAGCCCACAGTAGAGTCCAGTAGGTCGTCCATGGCAGCATTGGCAGCTTGGTTGTTCTTATCTATCGGGTCCAATGGAGCAAGGACTTCTGTCCTAAACATTTCAAGCTTCTCGACGAACTGCGGGACAGGTTGAAAGATTTGCACAAAAGATGTAAGGCTCTCTGAGAACTGCTTTCGGGGCTCTATGCAAAATGGTAAGTAAGTGGAGTGGCCGGAGAGGATAAGCTGTGATATTACCTTTAACAGCCGGGTGGCTAATGGCCTTAACAAGAGCCGGGTTATCGACGAGCCGAAGCAGCAGAGGGACAAATGCAGCTCGGGAGACCTCCATCTCGTGGCGAACTTGCGGATCTTGCAAGCCACCTGCGAGCATGTCGGCACCCAGAGGAGGATTCGACGCGGCGGAGAACAAGGACATCCATTTCGAGATGATGTGCATGAGCTCCAATGCTGTACGAGAGTCCTTGAGAGCAGTGCCTTCCACCACAAGCCGTATTACATGGTAGAACATGACCTCTTCGAGCCATGATGAGCTCT